ATAAGGAAGTGATACCCAAAGCAAACATGGAATAGTTATCTTGTTTAATTCATCATGAAGGCAAGCAACTAGTTACTTAGTAGAAAATGTGGATAGTGAAACTTTCTACATGATCACAAATTCAGCTAGAGAGACTATACCTAAACCGCATAAAGCTTTTGGACCGGCTTACTTCCGAGCCATAATGTGATTCTTGAAGCCAAAGAAGTCGCAGAATAAGCAGTGAATATAAGCAGCATCAATTCTAATATGTTACCAAACAAGTTGTAGTCGTAAGAGTAATCAAAAACCGCACATTCTTGAATTAATTATACTGATAAAAGTAGTAGCATATTCTACAACTTGATTTAGTTAACCATATCAAACTCAATTTACTTAACTTATCTGCACATTTGAAATAAAGAAGCAGCATTTGTTAAAATTTACCAGCCTTACAAACACTTCCAAATAATTTTCAATCAACATCTAATCCTGGTTGCCAGTAAAAGCACGCTTATCCATTTCATTGTGAAAAAAAAAAGAATTTAGAAATACATGACAACTGGCAAATATCTACCTTCTTAACATGGTACATGCAATGGGCTAAGGAATAATACCATAGCGCAGCCAATAAAATACGATTTCACTTTGACACTCACATAAAGAAAAAAATCCAGCTATGTTTCTAGGTGTCTCGTCCAATCGCCACTCATGCAACTTTCTTCTATTTAACTCTGCCCAAAATGTCGTATCGATAAACGTAGAAAACGGTACAAATTCCGCTTGAATCATTTATAATTTAATCTGCAACTCTTCCTTATAGTAATGATGATAATAATTAAGCTTGTATAGATGGTTTTGTGACCAGCGCTTCTGTTCGATATAAAACTTAAGAAAAATTTTTATCTCATCTTCAAACGCATCCAAAAAATAGAATACGATACGAGAACCGGATACGAATAGAGGAAAAAGCATGCTCAACCAAACACAAAAGACATATGTGGGATTGGAGACTTTAAGGTTCTTTTTTACAAACGTCCAAGCATTGCGAAGGTCACATCGCATACTTCTGTGTCCACTCACGTGCCAACTGATTGTACCTAAAGAAAAGATACAGTAGTGGGAAAGAATTTGTACATATATGTCAATGTTACTTAATATGCCTGTCGTGCAAAAAATACAAGTGTCCACTTAGCTAGGATGTCCTTCATTAATTTT